AAGAAATATCATTATTATTAATAATATTTATTGCCTTTCTGCAAATTTTTTCACTCACAAATGTTTCATATATATGTTTTCCATGTATGCTTTTTGGGGGTTTTTTTTCTATTCATTGTTTTAAGGCAAAGGGATTTATACTTTCAGGGAAAAAAAAAACTTTGATCTGGGTGAAGGAACTGAAACGTTCGTTTTTGCATGTGTGAAAATTAAGCCAGTTGATGAAGTATTCAAGAACCTGACCATCTGAGGATGGAGCTGTTGATGCCAAATCCCATGTGCTTAAAGTGGACCTGATCTCATAAAGTGAATATATGCTTTGTTATGGAGAACCAGGGCTTTTTTTTCCAGCGGGAACGTGGGGGAACACAGTTCCGTCACCTCCAGCACTGAATGTATGTACTGGCAAGGTGTACTGGAATGTCTATTGATGCTGGCTGCTGGGGGATCTATTGTCTCTGGAGGGGATCTATTATTACATGGTAGCCTATTGTTGCTGTTGGGGATCAATAGTTGCTTGAAGGGATCTAATGTTGAGGGAGGGGTCTATTGTTATTGACTGCTAGAGAGTCTATTGATGCTGGCTGCAGGGAGATCTACTGTTGCTGTTGGGTGTCTATTGTTGCTGGGGGGGGGGGGTATTTTGTTGACGAGATCCATTGTTACTGGGGGAATCTATTTTTGCTGGCTGCAGGGGATTTTATTTATTTTCTTGTTATCATTAACAAATTCCATAAAAATTACTTAGTGCCCCAAAATTATACTTGGCTGTGTATTCTCTATTAAGGAGTAGTACCGGGAGGTGGGTAGGGGGTGGAACTAAGGGACGGTGCTCAGAGATGTGTAGGGGTGGAGGCAAGAAGTGATTCAGAAGGGGGGAGTCCCTGCACCTATTCTCTGTGGAGAACATTTACAACTGTTGAATAAAAATAAAAAATAAGCAGTTCCCTGAAAAATTTACCTTTTGTTTCAAATGCCCCTTGAAAATTAGCAGTGGACTTTCTTGTATGTAAGGGTGCCTAAGTACTTCATTGCTTACAGCCTCATGGAAATACATGTGCACTGTGAATTTGAGGCACTGTGTTTTAAACTGCGAGTCTAAGAAGATTTGGAGTAAAATTTGTTGAGGTTGTGCCGTGCTACTCACCATTGTTGCTGGAGGCTATGACATGAGAAAACCTTTCCTTTAACAACATGGCCCCTATTCTAAAAATTCAAACATTGCTTCCTTGTGTGGAGGCATTCTGTACACTGTTGTTGTTCAGTACACCATTATATTATTTGCTGTTCACGTGATTGGTTCACTGTTGTTCCCTATACGTTTTCTCTTATTACCACAGTAGGTTTCATCATGTGCTTCTAACATGAAGGCTCTTTCACTTTATACTTAGTAATTAAAAGGTAAGAAATTAGATCTATGTATGGGTGAACTTCAATACAATAGGTGGCAGATATGCAACAATGTTTGCTAAAGTGCTTTAACAGATTAGTAAGAAGTTAGGTTTTCATGGCTATGTACAGCATGTTCTCAGTGTAGTGATTCACACTTGCTATTTGTCTTGGTGACAACTGATATCAAGACTAAAAGTGGGGAAAATTCCATAATTGTAAGCTGTGACCAAAAGAGGAGAAATAGAGGAGAATACAGGAAGAGAGGAGAAATCTGGGGGAAATACTGTATGAGCATCCCTCACTTTGGAGAGATTTTCACTCACTCCCTGTTGTGTCTACATGAGAGGAAATGAAGACAAATCTCCCCAACGGTATACAAGTGGCCAAAAATTAGTTTTAAAGATTCCTTGCTCTAGCTACATTTTTTATAAAACAAGTTTTGGCTTTAGGTACAATGTATCGTAAGTGCATACTACAATCATATAGATGTGTATACGATATCCCCAGTTTTAGAGGATGCGCTTTCCAATTTTTTTCTTTCACATACAGTTTAATCATTTCTATAAACTTGTTGGTGTAGTCTTTTCCTCATATCCACATGCAGGAAAAGAAGCTAAATTTTAATGAAGAAAAACAAGAAGCAAAACATGTTGTTATATCATGCTAGTTAAGATAAGCTTGAATGCATCAGTCTGAAACATAGCAAGTTTGCTTTACAGAAATTGGGCTAGAAATGGTCATTATGTTAAGGGCTCAAAACTGTCTTGATTAGCTCAAAACTTTTTTTTGATAAACAATTTGTTTTTCAGTGCTGTGGCCTTGCAGACAGAGATATACTTTATCCAGAAAGAGTTGAGACAAACATCAAAGCCCAGCTCTGCTTTTTGTTTAATAAAATGTTAAATAGCCCAGAAATGCAGATTTAACTGCAATATTCACCTTCAGTCTGACACTGCCCCCCATAGAAAGTTCACTCATCTACTAATGCCACTTCTCTTCCTGGTTGAATAATGCTCAGGTTCATCCAACCCACTTCCTTCAAGCCCACGCTATCATGGCCTCATCCCATGGAGTCAGTCTTTATCAGCTTGCTGAACAAAAACATGAAAGTTAACAATGATATCAAAGAATAAACTAAAACACAGTAATGTACAATAGCTTCCAACCATTATTAACTAAGGATTCACATGCAAAAAGAGCAACTATACTCTCAGTCAATCAAACTTGCTTAGTTCGCTTAATTGATATCTTCACTTAAATGTTTTGGGTTTGGAGTAGAGAAGGGTTACTACCTCTGTCAGACGTTTAGCACTATGTTCCCACTTGGGAGATCTCTCTTTACTTCTTGTTTCAGTTGCACAACATAAAGTGACTGGAATTCACATTTAGCTAAATTCTACTTTTAATTATCTTCCCTATCACATCCATTATGGCCACTATCTCTATTTCCTTGCCTGTGCATTAGTAGCAACAAGTTTTCATGCCTTACTATAACTCGATTCTTATATGAAAAAAGAAATACTCAAAGTTATTGTTAAAACTTTTACTCCATAAATTACACACATTCCCACTCTTACAATATACAGGTATTAGAACTAAGGATGTATCCACAGTTGGGGTTTCAGTACTACAGCAGTTTTACTTTTGTATTAAAGACCACATAGACTTACTTTGCCACATTTAGGGTATGCTACCATTTCTACAAAGAAGATAGAATTGCCTCAATAAACATTTTAAACATAAGATGTGTTAACAGTCAGCAATCCTTTAAATCTACCTGGATGTAGTGTGAAACTTATCATAACAATTTATACTTTATTGAAAAAAATCACACTGCCATCATAATCATTTGACTTTTCTCACACAGCTGTTAATGATGTGGGCAAATTATCAATTCAACACCAGGATACAGCCTAATAAGTGCTAAAATATTAAACGTAATCAATGAATTTTTACTACAGGCCTTATTAAAAGAACATTAAAACAAGTGTCATAACTGCTACTGACATTGCAGTGTCTGTGGCCATTTTAAGATATAGAACCTGCCTAGCTATGAAGATCTTTGCATAATGTAGAATAGTTAGACTATAGACAAAGAGACTTTAGGCTATAGTCAAATGTTCAAGCGTGATGTATACCTGTGAAGCAGACCCAACAACTTAGCGTAACTCACAGACTAACTTTACCCATAAATTAATCATTAACTGTTAATCGGCACCCCAATACATAAAGTGACATTAACATGTCTATACTTACCTCTCTGTGTAGTGATTTTGCACAGAGCTTCCCCAATTCTCTTCTTCTGGGTCTCCTCCAGTGCTCCTGGCTCCTCCTCGAGTAGTGCTCCCAGGGAAAGCCGCTCACCCTGGGGGGCACCTCTGCCTACTTGTCCCTGAACTGCTGCTCTATGCGACCATAAGACACATAAGCCTCGGCTCAGCCCCACCTCCGCTTTCTCCTCATTAGCTTACTGGCTGTGATAGACAGCAGCGGGAACCAATGTGCTCCCATTGCTGTCTCAGCCAATGAGGAGGAAGAGTCCCCACACAGCACAGGCTGTTGAGAACATCACTGGATTGGAGGGGGCTCATGTAAGGATTGGGGGGGCTGGGGGGGCCGCTGCACACAGAAGGTTTTTTACCTACATGTGTAGAATGCAAGAAAGTAAAAAAATCCTTGAGCCTTTAGAACCACTTTAAAGCTAAACTCCAGAAAATCTCTGTATTGCATAGACACATTGGTCCAGCTTGGCACAGTGTAAGTATGAATATCCCATACCTGTTTGGCCACTGGGGGAGCTGTAGTAGTTGGCCCTACTACAGTAGCAGCCACAATCCTTTGGGTCCAGGTATGAGTGGTTTCTACTCTGTACACTACCATTGTCATTCATAGAACATATTTTTATTTTTTAATGAATGCAAGGTGTTCTTTGGTTGCAGGATATGGAAGGGAGGCACTGTAAGATTACGACATCCACCGCTTCCAATCAGAGAATGCCTTGTATTCATTGAAACAAATGTAAATTATTCTCTGGTAACAGTGCCCTCCTGGAAGATCATGGTTATCACTGTAGAAGTGCCAGAGGACCATAGGGTATAAGATATGCATACATACATTGGACCAAGTTGGACCAATGTAAGTATGAAATACAGATAACTCCTGGAGTTTAGCATCCAATGCAAGTATGAATTACGGATAACTCCTGGAGTTCAGCATCCAATGTAAGTATGAATTACAGATAACTACTGGAGTTCCGCATTAACCTTAAACAGAACCCTTAACCTGACCCTAATGCGTAACCCTCATTTTTACACTTAGCTTACCTCTTAATTCTAATCCCTGATACTCAACCTATCATTTTACCCTGTCAACCTTACCTCTGAGTGTAATCCCTTAAAATGTTACTAAACCCAGGACCCTGCATTCACTATATCTGGTCTCCCACAGTACACAGAACATGGAAATTAATTTTTTTTTAGTGATTATTAAACTGCTAAATACCTTTTCTCATCAGCAGTATATAGCAGCCTTGTGAATTCTATCAGTGTTTGGCTATCGAGCTCAATGCTTGTAGGAGACGTTTTCATTCTCCACTGACTGTCCTATGAGGTTGCATGACCTCTGACCCTCTGGCTGGACAGTGTTGAATGGCCCTGTGCTGATCACATGCACCCTCCCAAAGAAAATAATAACTCTCTAACAATACACACTAAACGGAGCATGTGCAGAGTGACTCCTGGAGCTCCGTACTACCAGCAGATGAAATGTGGACAATAGAAGAAGGGGAGGATCAGAGAAGACAGGATCAAACAGCCTTTTTACACAATGCAGAGGATTAATCCCTTAAAGCTTGTACGAGGAGTTTTCATTCTCCTCTGACTGTCCCTATGAAGCTGCATGACCCCTGACCCTCTGTCTGGACAGTGCTGATTGGCCCTGTGCCAATCACATGCATCCCCCCCAACAAAAAAAATCTCTCTAGCAAGACAAACCAAAAGGAGCATGTACAGAGTGCCTCCTAGGGCTCTGTACTACCAGCAGATGGATTAAGGATTGTGGAAGAACACAGCCTTTTTTACACAATGCAGAGTATTACCCCTTAGGTTCCACAGTGAGTATAACAAACATGCTTTACTGCATATACAGACTGATTTTACTGTTGTTGGATCAGTTACACTTTAAACCCTTGAAACGAACAGTAATCTACTGCTAAACGTATTCCTAATAACAAATTAACCTCTAAGGGGCATTCTTATCGTATATACAGTACTATCAGTCACAAAAGGAAAATGTGATGTGATAAAACCTAATGCGCTTCCTTTTTCTCAATCAATACTTAAACTATTGAATGGCAAAGATCCTATGTGATGGTCAGGCAGATAATATTTGCAGAACGAGCAGTACGCAAGTACACATCCTCCATGTTTCTGTAAAAAGAACACCTAGAAGTGTCTACAAACACTCACCACAAGCAGCAGTTGTGTGGATGAAAATGCTTTGTTGATGTCAGAGGTCAGAGGAGGATGGACAAACTGGTTCAAGATGATAGAAAGGCAACATTAACTCTCTGAAGAATGTTTCCAACACCTTGTTGAATCTATGCCACAAAGTATTAAGGCATAGATTCAACAAAGGCAAAAGGGGTCTAACCCGGTACTAGCAAAGTGTACCTAACAATGTGGACAGAGAGTATATACCTGTAGCAGGCTCCCAAACCCTCCAGCTGCAGCTGAATTTCAAGCCATTCTGATAGGTAAAGGTTTAGCACATGATGCTTGCCCCTACCACCCATCTGTACACTCCCACTTGGGAATATCTTCCTGTTTGGTGAAACCCCTGTCAGCAAGACAGGGAGTTGGTTAATCCCTCTAGTCTAATGGATCCCCAGATAACAGTAACAACACAACAAGGTTTCTAATTCCTCCCCACTCCATTTAAAACTAGAAAAATATTTTTTTTTGTTCTTCACCCTTGAACCTTTAAATTCCTGCATTATATAAGACTGTAGAAGCTGAGCATTGGGCGTATTAACAAAATCTGTAGTTGTGTTAACAACGATAATATCTTTTGGCATATGCAAAATATTCAGCTGTCTACCTTTCATTAAACATAAACTATCTTTAAATGCAGACTAAATTGCCTTTTTAGTATTCAAACTTGAATTTGAGTGTTTTTGCCATTTTCTTGCATGAAGGTCAGACACTATTAAACAGCTGTGAGATAGATAACCCAACTGCAGCCTTTGTACAAGAAGTACATATTCGAGAAGGTGGAAATGCATCTTTGTTGGTACTTCTCAAGTAAACTGCAGTGCCAAGCACCAAACACAAATATGAAAATCAATTAAGATTGCAAAATCATCAAAGGCCTTCAAAGTTTGACTTTAAGACTGAGAAAGCATTAAGTATTCACAGGTGAATAAAGAGATGCTGGAAGCAATGAGAGGTGCTCACATGAGCAGAGATAAATGAAGATAATTCCTTTCATCTTCATGAGCAGCAACATAAACTGGATAATTGCAATCATGTGTAGAAAGAATATCAGACTTCAATAGGAGTGTTGAGAGCACTGTAAAAATAGGACTGCTCGAATTATAACATCGTGGGTACAGACAAAAAGTACAAGTGGGAACAGCACATCTAAATAATAGAAAATAAGACTAATTATGTGCAGCCAGTGTGACTGAAAACTGCTAAAGGAAATTCTGATGGATATTATCTGGCATCCATTGTAATTTTAGTTAAATATTGGTGCAATGATTATTTGCAATGCTTAACTGTAAATGAAAGCAATTAGTGATATAAGATGAGATAATGAAGCAAGCACTCTAAATTTTGGAAGTCTAGGATAGAATGCCATCCTTTATACAAACATAATGCAACTTGTGCGGCAGGAACTTACAACACGTCTCAAAAATTATTTTTGAGGTCCTTTGATTCTTTCTTTTCAAAGGTGAAGTTTCTAGTGTAAACATTTATTTTTTTATAAATCTATAAGAATTTCACTCACAAAAGCACCTAAAGATGCTTAAAGGTCACCTTCTGCACCATGTTACATCCTATTAGGGTGTAATATATAACATGGTGCAAATGCCTCTCTTCCCACCCTCAAACTATACCCCCCCCCCACCCCCCTATGACAGTGGGCAGAGTTTCCTCTACCTCAGCCTCTGCCACATTATTAATTGGTGTGCAGGACTCACACAGAGATCTGTGAATGAAGAAGGTACAAGTTCCATTTGCCACTGCAGCAGATATACTTGCACTTCTCAATGGACTATGAGTGTGCTAATCAGAAGTACGCTACAAATATAGTTACTTCTCAAGTAAACTGCAGTGCCAAGCAGCAAATAAATATATATATATACATTGGGTAAAATAAGTATTGAACACATCACCATTTTTCTCAATAAATATATTTCTAAATGTGTTATTGACATGAAATTTTCACCACATGTCAGTTACATCCCATGCAATCCACACATACACAGAAAACCAAAACAAATAAATTCAGAAATTAAGGTAGGTGTAATAAAATGGAATGACACAGGGAAAAGTATTGAACACTCTAACTGAAATGTATTAATACTTCTTACAAAATCCTTTGTTGGTAATGACAGCTTCCAGATGCCTCCTGTATGGAGAAACTAGTCGTATGCATTGCTCAGGTATGATTTTAGCCCATTCTTTCACACAGACTTCAAATCTTGAAGGTTCAGTGGGCCTCTTCTATGAACACTGATCTTTAGTTATTTCCATAGATTTTCTAATGGATTCAAGTCAGGTGATTGGCTGGCTATTCTAGCGGCTTACTTTTCTTTCTTTGAAACCAATTGAGAGTTTCCTTGGCTTTGTGTTTGGGATCATTGTCTTGCTGAAATGTCCCACCCTTGTTTCATCTTCATCATCCTGGTAGATGGCAGGAGATTTTTATCAAGAATGTCTTGGTCCGATTTTCCAATCATCCTTCAATGATATGAAGTTTGCCAGTACCGTATGCTGACAAACAGTACACACCATGATGTTCCCTCCTCCAAACTTCACTGTGGGTATAGTGTTTTTGGGGCGATGTGCAGTGCCATTTGGCCTCCAAACGTAGTGTGTGTATTATGGCATCCAAAGAGTTCAAATTTGGTCTCATCTGACCAGACTATATTCTCCCAGTATTTCACAGGCTTTTCTAAATGTTTGTGTGCAGCAATCTTTAAACAAGCTTCAACATGCTTTTTTCTTTATCAGTGAGTGTGCATACAGGTCATGGCAGTTGAGTGCATTACATATTTTTTTCTTTGTAACAAGTGTACATGCTAATTCCAAATCTTTCTGAAGCTCTCCACAAGTGGTCCTTGGCTCTTGGACAACTCTTCTGACAATTATTTTCGCACCTCTGTCAGAAATCTTGTGAGGAGCACCTGGTTGTGGCTGGTTTATGGTGAAATGATGTTCCTTTCACTTTCGGATTATGACCCCAACAGTGCTCACTGGAATATTCCAAAGTTTAGAAATCCTTCTGTAACCAGTGCCATCAGTTATGTTTTGCCACAATAAGGTTGTGAAGGTCTTGAGAGAGCTCTTTGCTTTTACTCATCATGAGATGTTTCTTGCATGATACCTTGGTAATGAGACACCTTTTTATAGGCCATCAATTGAGACTGAACCAGCTGATATTAATTTGCAATGAGAAGGAGCAGGATTGCTTTCTAATTACTGATAGATTTGAACTGGTGTCTTGGCTTGCCATGCCTTTTTGCACCTCCCGTTCTTCATGTGTTTAATACTTTTTTCCTGTGTCATTGCATTTTATTACACATAACTTAATTTCTGAACTTATTTGCCTTGGTTTCTTTGTATGTATGGATTGCATGTGTTGTTACTGACATGTGGTGAAAATTTCATGTCAATGGTACCTTTAGAAAATATATTTACTGAGAAAAATGGTGATGTGTTCAGTACTTATTTTACCCAATGTATGTGTATATGTGTATATATATTATATATATATATATATATATATATATATATATATAATATATATATATATATATATATATATATATATATTAGGCATTTTTTAATTTCTTAGGAATTTGCCCAATTCCTTCTGAAATGTTTCTTGTAGGGACAAACATGTTCAAGATGATTGGCTTCAACTTTTCATTCACAGCATTCCAAATTGGTATCTGCAGGAGACAAGTCCTTTGCACCACCACTCTCAAAATAGGTTCCAAAGCCAAAAAAAAAAATGAGTGTACACTAGACATGTGCATGCCAGAAATTTTTGTTTTGTTTCTCATGCATCTGTTAATTGAAGAACTAAAGTGCAGAAATGTACAGGTGCCTGTACATACCTGCAACAGCCTCCAGAATCCTCCTGTCATGGTCTAACCTCCATCAGTGCTGAGACTGGTGACAGACCAGTAGGGGGTCAAGCATAAACCATAAAGAGTTTTGTTGAGAAAAAAAATATTCCCTTCTGGGTGATCTATGTACTTTGCAAGCATTTAACCACTTGCCCTCTAGAGGATTCGCCTCCCCTGCCTGACCAATTTTTTGCGTTTGAGCGGTCATACAACACTTTACCCAAATTAAATTTACGTCCTTTTCTTCCCACAAATAGAGCTTTCTTTTGGTGGTATTTGATTGCCTGTGCATGTTTTATTTTTTGCATTATAACAGAAAAAGACTTTTTCCTATTAAACATGTCAAGTAAAAAAATTTAAAAAAATCAAATCAAAAATTTAGGCCAAAATGTATTCTGCTACATGTCTTTGCGAAGAAAAATCCCACTACATGTAAATTAATTGGTTTAAGTGAAAGTTATAGCTTTTATAAATGGCGGTATATATACTGGAATTTTTCTTTTACTAGTAATGGCAGCGATCAGCGACTGATCTTTGCTAATAAAAAGCACTGGCACTGTACTAATGGCACTGGGCAGGAAGGGGTTAAAATGTGGGGCGACATGAAGGGTTAACTGTGTGCTGTTTTACTATGTGGGCTGTGTGTGTGTTTCACTGTAAGCACACTGCTCTGTATGGCTGTGCTATGCAAAGCCATACAAGCGGTGTACAGGAGCTGACAGGGAAGATATCTGTATTGTTTATGTACAGGTCTCTCCCCCATCGGAGATCGCTGGGTGCCGGGCGAGTAGAATCACCGGCTGGGACGCC